CCCTGATTTTGAAAGAATAAGGACTGACTTCAATAACTCTCCTGACACATGGATGCTCTGTAGCCTCGGGGAAAAGGCAGAGTTTTTTTTGTTTTGTTTTGAGGATCCTCACCACAGTAGGTTAAACCCAAACTCGTCCTTCACTGGGCAGATGCAGATCCACAGTAGCCCATCAATTACTGATTGAAGGAATAGTTGGGGAATGCACTTATTTGCTTTTTGCTGAGAGTCACATGAAAAGATTGATACCATTCTCATGTCTGTGTGTCAAATATGTAGCTATCCCAGCAGCTAGCAAGTGGCAACCTCTAGGGCTGAAGAATGAAGCCAATGTGTAAGTGCCAAAAACTGCAGTTCCTTTAATGACCACTTGAGACTAGCTCCAAGGGCGAGTCAATCCGCCATGTTAAAATGCCCAACTTTACTGCAAAAAAAAACCCAAAACATGTTTACAGCCTGGTACAAAAAGTGGCTTTGGTCTCTATAACTAATCCCAACATTCATGACAGTTGTATGGGGGGTATTTTTAATAACTCATCCGCTTACATTTTATCAAAGCTTAAAAGTATGCATATTTAGGCTGTCTGTGAGGTGTCATTACAGTTTGAGTCAGATTCACCCCTAGCTCCACCCTCTTGACCAAATATATTCACGACGGCCAAAATGCTGGACTAAAGGCTTCAAAACGGGAATCCATAAACCAATGGGTAACTAGCTAGTCCATTATTGTATGTAGTCTGTGGCAGCTAGCTATCTTAGCTCATCATTAAAACTGTAGTGGGAGAAACTGCTGACATGGCTCCATCAAAGGGTAAAATCTACCTACCAGAAACTCTAAAGCTCACTAATTAACAAATTACATCTAGATTGTTTCTGTAGAAAATTTAAAGTGTTTAAATGGCCAGTAATAGTTTTATGGGGGGGGGGTTATGGGCCAAACTTGCTTCATGAAGAGCAGTTTTTCCCCGTTTCAAGTCTTTAAGCTAAGCTAAGCTAAGCTAACTGGCTGCTGACACGACAGTTGTATTTATCTTTTCATCCTACCCTTGACAAGAAAGCAAATAAACCTATTTCCCAAAATATCAGTCTCTTCCTTTTTCAGCAAATTGAAAGTGCTGCCTGCCCTGGCACTATTCTACCAAAACCACCTGTGTTGTTGCAACATCAACACAGAAACACACTCAGGCAGACATGTGCAGGTGTAATTTAAAACTGAAGCAAGGCTATGATGCTGTGAGGTAAGAGTTGAACCTCTGTTGCAAGATTTCACCACTTGTGTGAAAGTGGTCTTTGTTGAGTAAGACGCGACTCTCCAGCTGGCTCGAGCTTCTCACACAGTGTGGTATGTCAAAATGCTTCACAGTTAAAACAGTGTTTGGTGTAGCAGAGCTAATTAACTACACTGCAAACACTCTTTATTTATGTTTATATTGAAAACCTTTTGTGCCGTTTTGTGCTCATGAAGGCCCTTCATTTTTCCTCCCTTCATGTTTTTAGTTACCCTTTTGTCTTTTTGATTAGATGGACTCTTGAGCTAATATGTGAACTGTTAACTTCAGAGCTGAGATCATAAATCTCTTGAAGCTTATTCACTCTGCAGCCAAAGCATTCATACACAACAAGTGGTAGTTAGCAGTTGTTTATTGGAATGAAGTACATTAGTTGCTGCTGTCCCTATTGGGACTGTGAGACAGAGGAAGCCAGATGTGTCAAAACAACTTCCTGCCACATTCGAGCTGTTTGGTGGCAATTGTGGCTCATGTACATATAAGGTAAAACAAGACAAGATGGCACAAGCTAATCTGAATTCTTCCTGGATGCCTGTGTATGTGTGTCTGTGTGTGTGTGTGTGTGTGTGTGGAATGCATGCCTGCCCCCTAACATGGTAACTAATCTTGCCTCGTTTTTTACCAAAAAAAAAAAAAAAAAAAACATTGGCAATGTTGTGCCTTCACTCAGATCAGATTTCCTTTTTTGGCTGCATTAATTATATGATTTCATATGCCCTAACTGACCTCATTTATCTGCTCTGGCAGTCTACTGCTGACTTAACCCCCTCCATAAAAATGGACTGTGAGAACTTATCACACTGAAAGTTTTCCGTCCGTAGTGTTAAATGATGTTGAAGATCAAAGTCAAGTCGGCTCAGCAGTTGTGCTGCAGCGACAGGAAGTGGTCTAGCATGCAGTCTGCTAGATAACCGGCAAAGCATGAGATGTCTGCTAGCTTAACGGCAACATATTCACTGAGTTCAAGAGGAGTCAGGGATGAAGAGGAGACAGTTGGGAAGTGATTGCATCTTCAGGAAGCTGCATGTCCTTACTTAATGAGCCAGTCGTTTCAAAGGCATGTCATCCGGTTCTCGTAAGTGCAGGCAGCAGCCTTGTTGCACCTCCTACTCAGTTGTTAAGTGGTGCATTAAGGTATATTCATAGATTACTTTTTAGAGAGGGCCACTCTTACTTTTCCAGATAGCTTCACAAGTGATGTTCAGATGAGGAAGGACAATTTGATCAAATATAACGTGAGACAATATACATTTGACCACCAGTCTCTGATCGTATGAGGTAGGGAGCAATGTTGCGCATCAGTGAGTAGGATGTCTCTGTCAGCATGAATGTTGCCAAATGCACAAAGAACATTTTGTGCTCGTCATGGCAGTGATGTCTGTTGAAGAGAGGATGATCTAACACTAAGCTTGAATCATTTTGTACCTATAGAGTGCCTAAGTCACGCCCTTCCGGTGAAGCTCATGGGACCTTAGATCGGAAGAAATATGAATGGCAGTGAATGAGGAGAGAAATATTATCTTTTGGTCCCGTTTTGAGTTGTGACATGAAATCCAAATATGTCATAAATTAATTTAAAACATAAATTTTAAGGTCAAGAAAGTCATACTTTGTGGTAAAACTGTTGAGATATAAGCTTTTGAAAAAAATGTAATTGGAAAAACTACACAGGAGGAGGTCGCGTATGTGACTTCATAGCTTTCGCTCACTTCCTGCAGCTTGGAGTGACTGCAACCTGGCACAAAACACACAGATATCTTCAATCATAAATCAATCAATCATAAAACAGTGGAATTTCAGCGGGGAGGCCAAGCTGCAGGAAGCGAGCGAAAGCTATGATGTCACATACGCAACCTCCTCCTATGTACTCTTGAGTCTTTCTAATGAAAAAGCTTATCTCAACAGTTTTACCACAAAGTATGACTTTCTTGAACTTAAAATTTATGTTTTAAATTCATTAACAACATATTTAGATTTTATGTCGCAACTCAAACGGGAACAAAAGATAATATTGCTCTGCCCATTCACTGCCATTCATATTTTTTCTGATCTAAGGTCCCATGAGCTCTACCGGAAGGGACGTGACTTCGGCACTCTATATATTGAACGAAACTGATCTTTTTTGATAGCAAGAAAGTTGGATACAGCCTTTAATATACATATGCCACCTGGTGGTAATCAACAATCAGTGACCTTTTGTTGTAGTTTTTGTCATTATGAAGAATTACCTCAGTTGCTAATGCATTAAATGAGCTGAATCACCCAAAACAGACTTTCCCGTCACTTACGTTTGATCTATAATCGGTTTCTCTCTTTTTTTCTCTTTTTTTTTTTTCTCTCTTTTTGATTTTTTTTGTGAAATTTACTAGCACATACAGGAGACATCAAGATATAAAATGTATATGAACTGTGATTGTCCCTACCTCTCTAAGTTTTGTGAGTGCAACACACTTAAATCATTAGTCAGTTAAACAGCTTTTGATTTGAACTCACGTCAGGCAGATCAAAGTTTTTATGAGGAAGATGGATGCACATACTTAATGCTGTCATTTCCATCACCGGGGCGGACTCTTGATTTGTTATTCTGCCGACAAAGCAAGAAATTGTGCAAGTCCAAGAGTAATAGACCTGGAAAAAATGAAGATCAGCAGTCGCCTCTGATGCCAAAGATCTCTTTCTCTTTGCACTGGCAGGCCCTGAACCCCCCCAACCCCAAATCCACCACTTCCCTCCAGCTCCAGCCAAACTGCCTTACATAACAGGGTTTTAGCAAAGTCTGCAGTGGACTTTTCCCCCTGCCTAAACAGAGGCTGCCCTTCTTCCCTGCACACTGGCTTTTCCATGGTACCATGTACTGTGTACAGATATGAATGTCTTTCTGTCTGTTTGTTATCCGCTTGAACTACCTGTTAGCCTTGCTTAAAGATGTGGTCATGCTTGTTGCTGCTGCTGGGGACTGGCTGCAATGCTCTTGAGGGCAGATACACCCATTACTACTGTCCTCAGCTTGAGATCGTGCAAGCTTTTTTCTCTCTTCTCAACCTTCTGTGCGCCTCGAGGGGAAGTCTTTCAGTTCCTCCTGTCATCATGATTTGAACTGCAATTACTTGACACAATGTGAAAGAAAATGTGGAGACCTATGTTAAATGGCAACCAGAGAATCAAAGCGCAAGCCTGCAATTGTGGATGATTGTAGGGTTGAGTTGAGGAAATGCTTTATTACATTTGTAAATTGGAAAGCTACGATGATGAAGACGGGCAGAACAGGTGTCAGTCATGTTGTTTCACTTAGACATCCCCGTACCATTTGTTTTAAATTTCATGTGATACTTCCCTGTGAAGTTTCCTAACCGGAAGGCTGGTTCTGAGCTGTTCTACTATGTTGAGGGCCGCCCCATGCAGAGCGTCCCACAGCTCAGTTCACATGACCAGACAGAAGGCACCTGATCCTCTCCCAGGGGTGCAAAGAGACAGATGGAGCAAATAGAAAGAGGGGGAGAGAAAGAGAGATCAGATTGACAATACCAACACACTGGTAAAGGTAACGAGGACAATGAAAAATACCTTCTTCCATCCATGTGACGTCTTTCTGTCGCTTGTAATCAAACAGAACTCTGTTAATATTTGTTATTGCACTTAAGAGTATAACAGGAGTCTTGCACAGATTTGAATATATTTGTTTTTTGATAATTTCTCTGTTTGGTTATCCAGGACACCAGGAATACCACTGAAGAGAAACCTGTCCAGCGATCTAAGGTAAATATGCATCGTCTGTCTTTTGTGTCTCACCCCTTTCATGCTTCTCTGTTCCTCTTCCGTGTGCATTACTCCTGCCCCACTTTACATTCATCAGCCTTTTGATCTCAGAAAGAGCAAAGGAAGTATTTCCTGCATTTTGTGTCTTGTTTTATAAATGCAAGCTTTCATCTCAGTATGGATCAAGGCCTAGATCACTGTGTGTCTGGTAGTAAACCGGTATGTTTGTGTGCTCAGTCCTTGAGCTTCAAGACCCAAAAGGAAGTGTGTTCATCATGTGAGAAGACGGTCTACCCAATGGAGAGATTGGTTGCCAACAACCTGGTCTTCCATTCAACATGCTTCTGCTGCAAGCACTGCAACGCCAAACTAAGGTGACTGTATATACTGTTTTCAGGGTTCCTGCAGATCCTTAAAAAGACTTTCATTCACACTGACATTCCTCTTCTCCTAAATCCTTTTAATTGTATATAACTGTTTGATTCCTCCTCTTTCCGGCAGCCTTGGCACCTTTGCAGCTCTTCAAGGCGAATTTTACTGTAAACCCCACTTCCAGCAGCTGTTCAAAAGCAAAGGCAACTACGACGAGGGCTTCGGACGCAAACAGCACAAAGAGCTCTGGGCCTCCAAGGAGACAGATAATATAACAAAGACGGCATAATCATGTCTGCCTGTGTCCCATCCCAGCCATGCCTCTTCCTTTTCCTCCTCCTAACACCTCCGATACATCACGATGAACACATGCCTCATATGCTGGGGCACTGTTAAATCACCCACGCGCTCACTCTCGCTTTTTAAATGCCATCAGAACAGATACATGCACAAACAGCTAGGAAATGACTGGCCAGTCATAATCCATACAACTTAAAAAATAATTTTTGGGGATATACTTAGGGTTCAATTTGAGTGATATTTGTATTTTCCTTCTTTTGTTTTCCAATTTCCTGTTTGGAATTGGCAGTTGATTGTGACCAAAAGCCTTCTCTGGTATGGGGGGTATAATAATAATCCTTTTCTTTTTTTTAAATTCTTTTTAGGAATTTGCACCCTTTTTAATTTTTGAATACCGTATGCTCAGGCGAACATATCAGAGAGGTTACAGAGCATCCATGTTTTGCAGTCGAGCATACACTCAGGTCAAAATTAGCATAATTTCACTCATTTTAACAAAACACACAAATCAAAATAATAGTCCTCAGTATTGTGACTTTGCTGTCAGACAGTTCATGTCAGTTTGTCAGGTTTCATATATTTGAGGAACAAACAGGGTACAGAGTACTGTAAAATAAACGCGCACATCAGCAACAGCTCACCTCTCGTGTTTTAATTTTTGTTTTGTCATCGTTCTCTTCATCCCATGGTTTGTTTTTATTTTATTGACCACTGTAAGTCTAATCCTTGCATGTTGGGATGACTGGGTCTTATTAGCCTTATCTTACAACTGTATCGATCTTTTTGTGTTGTGAATGATTTTGTTTTTCATCGATGCATAAGGATTCACTTTTTAAAGGATTTTAGAAGCACTTGAGTTTGGATTTGATTGATGTCACGACATAAGTTGATCCTCTCTGAGCTTTTATTGGTGGTTGGAATTTTAATGGAATTCTCAGATTGTGTTTTGTATACTATCTGTACGTAGAGCTGTAGTTTGTGATTTGTGAACATTCTCCACCTTGCTGTACTCTCGTCTTGCACATATGACCACACATGATCACCAGACAAGATAATCACAGGGAAACTGAGGCCTCGTTAGCACACATCCCTCACTCCGTCGGATGAAACATCTTAAGAGGAGACGTGAACATTTGGTTGAATTGGTTGTTAGTAAAATGACCTTTGCTACAAATGAAGATATTGATGGACGGAGCTTAAGCCTTGCAGGAAACCACACAATTTTGTTCCTTCGTCATTTCGCACTTTGTCAGTTGTTGGCGTCTTGTGGTGATTTTCCCCTGCTGTATTTGAGTGTGTTCATATAGCTGGAAAGTTTTTATGGGGGATGTAGAACATCCATCATTTTGTTACCCCCCCCCCCAGTCCCATCTAATAAGAGGGGACAGGTTTCCTTTTGAAATAAATGCCTTCCTGTTCTCATCTCCTGTCTTATTAGCTAAATACATCTTAGCACCTGGACCTATTTCTTCCTACTGAATTAACAGTAGTTGGCTGATTGAGGATATGTCACAGTTTTGGTCCCCTGATGTGAGATGTGCTCCTGCATGCTGCATGCAAAAACCCAATGCAGAGCACCCCCTGCTGGGGAAAGTGTGACAGTAGTGTCTAGTGTGAGAGGAAGAAAAAAAAACTTGCCCTGAACTCAACATAGCCTTTATTCAAAGTTTTTGAATACGTTGCCTCGGCCTGCAGTGCAGCTACTGCACTCCTGCCACTTTATTTTATTTAATTACAACACCTAAGAGAAATTATCCCAGTTAGACAAGATCTCCGCATTTATATTTCATTCTATATTAAGAATGAGTCTAAAGCCATTCAAATATTTCATCTTAGAAAACTTCTGAATACCACTGAGACTTGACTGACACTTGAATGACACAAAGTACTTTTTTGTGACTGAAGGTTTACTGTGAATTTGAGCATGCTGTGCAAAGTAGAAAGCTAAACTTAAACAGATGGATATCTGCTACTTTTTTTAAAAGAGAAGCCTTAGAAATAAATAGCTGACCTTATTGCTTTTTCAAATGATTCCTTTGAGTGCACAGATCGACAAAGAAATCTCCTGATCATGCCTTTCTCAAAAACAGACCCGCTTCCTTTAGAGCCCCACTCTTTAACATAGGATTACTTCACTCAACCAGCAGCCATTTTTTTCCTATATAACCACTTTTTATCCACATAAAATGTACAATAATTCTAATTCTACTGTATGTGTGTGTGTGTGTGTGTGTGTGACTATGTATATTTTATATTTTCCTCCATTTTAAAATGGTCCTCTGGATCCCTGAGAATGCTTTAAAATTAAGAGTATTGTATCTAGAAATGCTGTCTTTGTCATTCTCCGTTAGCAGTTCGCCAAGGTACAACTGCAGAATCTGTGAATTGCAACCTCTAAGCGCAGATAAGGTACACTTAACACTGGTGCCAAGAGGCTCAGGTGAATGATTGCGATGTAACGTTTAAATGTTAAATCTGTGAGTCATTTCATTTTTGTGCTTATCTTGATGTGGACTTTCTTTTCAATGCTGTTGTCATCGAGACATTTTAAATGTATGCATCTTTGAAAATGTATTACAGACTTGACCTGTGGATTGAGGTGGCCTTACAGCTAAAGGACGCTTGGACTGTATTTTCAGTCGTTCTCCTCTATTCTCCCTTCTCTCTATTGCTTAGTTGTGGTATGGAAGTGTAACATTTTAAAATGTAAGCGCCCCCCTTTCTACGCCAATACACACAATCATTTTGTGCATTTTCTTTCTTGTTTTTCTTTTTTGTTTTTTACATGCTTTTGGAGAAAAAAAAATAAAATGCTGGTGTTGATTTAATGCCATGATTTTAGTGGGGTTTTTTTTAATGCACTGATAGCTGAACCTTTGAAATCCCACAAGATTAATGACTAATTGACTTGATACAGATTATAAGTAGTTAGCGGTTTTTCATAACCTCTACTTCACTGCAGTTCAGAGGGATATATTGTACTTTTTACTCCACTTCAGTTGTTTGATAGCTTTAGTTAGTAGTTACCTTACAAATCAGGATTTTTGAAAAAGAAAAAAAACATGGTTCCAGCTTCACAAATGTGAGGATTTGCTGCTTTAAAATAATTTTAATTTATTTTTAATCATTTTGATTAATCTCCTATATTGGTTAGACAAAACACAAATTATAGAGGTGCTTTGAGTTTTTAGCTCTGAGTAATCAAACAATGGAGCAAATTATCAGCAGATTAATCCATAATGAAAATAATCATTAAAAATAGTTAAAAAATGAGCTCCACCTCAAACAAATACAACAGTAAAATCATTAGTAACAACAATCCAATGATATATAACAGTCACAAGGGCCATTTTTTCTGTGTTTAGTACTTGTACGGTTAATACGTACAAGTACGTAAGTACATTTCCTGATCATACTTGCATGCTTTTAATAAATTTATTTATCTTGAGGGGAACTGTTACGCAGCAGTTGCAGAATAGGAAAGAGTGCAAATATGAAGGTGAAAATAATACAAATAATAACAAATGATTATCAATAAGGTGCAAAAACAGAGGTGTAGTGTAACTAAGTACATCTGCTTATGTTCTATACGTTACTACAATTTTGAGGCACTTGAGTATTTCCATTTTATTCTTAATATTTATATTTCACTGCATTTCAGAGGCAAATACTGTACTTTTTACACCACTAAACTTACTTGATGACTTTGGTTACTAGTTACTTTACAGATTAAGAATATAATCATTAAATGATTTATGATATGGTTATAGATTAAGCTACCCAGCAGTATATAAAGTTAGCTCCACCTTTACCAGCTGCAACATTAAAGTGATGAATTCATTTATGCATTAGTAATTATAATCCCATTATATCATTTATTATTTTCTGAAATGGGCCACTGTGCATAATGAGTACTTATACATGTTTTGATGCTGACACTTTTGTACTTTCACTTGTTAGTAAAATTTTTAATGCAGGACTTTTACTTGTAACATAGTCTTTCTACATTGTTGTATTAATAGTACAATGTAGAAAGACTATGTTACATTGTGGTATTACTACCTTTATTGAAGTAACTGATCTGAGAACTCCTTACACCACTTGCAAATTGCAAATGTGACTCACACTTAGAGTGAGCAGCTTGAGGTAAGTGTTACTTAGAGAAACTGGCCAACAATGAGGTCCAAATCCAAAGAATACACGTCAAAATATATCGGATTAGCGGTAAGTACCACTGATACGGTAGTATACTTTATAATGTACTCTTAATTTAAGTAAATGATCGGACTACTTCCACCAGCGATGTTTTTGACATCAATTAAATGACAAAAAGCTGCGATCGGACGCATGGCAATGAAATATCATTATTCCGATTTTCCTGTCACTTTGAAGGCAGCATAAGGCTGAACTACGTCACAGCTGGTCCGCCCCATTAATAATATCGTGCGCGCGCCTGAAGAAAGACTTCGACACGGCGCGCTCCCGCAGCTGCACGGCGCTTATTTAGATAGTTTAGTAACCAGAAATCCCCCTGGGAATAAATCCATGTTATTACACACGTATGGACGACGGAGAGTGAAGCATTTGGGAAACACGGACCCCACTTTGGAGTACAGTTTTCACGACTTGTTGGAAGCTTAAAAGCGGGTTCCGGTGGCGATATTTTTTTCTGTCAGGAAGTTTGACGTATTCGGTTGAAGATTGTTTCTTACTTTGTTTTGGTTTGGGGGAACGTTGTGGATTGCTGTAAGCAACAGAAACCGCACGAAATCTCTGTGACTCAGTAAAGACTGCGTTTTTTTCATATTAAAATCTGTTAGGAGCTTTCATGAGTACTTCAGGAACCGTAATGTAAGAGCTGAAGCTCTGCGGAGTGCAAACACCGATGGAGTTTATCATACTTGGCTTCTTTTGACATATGAATAATTTGAATTTATATGTATATTAACACGATACGTGTATATTTGTTTCTGCTAGTGTCATTTCAGTCAGTTTTTGCTACAAGTTTGAACTCCATCATGACTGAATCAAATCCCCCTGCACTGTTTTTATAGGCCTTTATGTATTCTTACATGTGTATGTTTATGGCCATAATTAAGTTGCAGTGCAATGCAGTTGTATGCAAAGTAAAGATATCTGCAGCCTAGATTATTTTGGACTCCAACCTGGCAACACAGAGAAGGAAAATCTGCAAACTTAGCAGGAAGAGAGGCTGTAATCACGGAAATCGGTCGGTCTTTTCCTCTGGCGGAGCTGTTACTCAGAAATGGATTTCATACAGGCCACACGGTTATTGTTACACCTTGTTTGGTAGTTTAATGTTCGTGTTTTATGGGATATAGCTCCCTGGCCTGCGAGCCTGAAAGTGTAGATACCGTGTGTGGCAAATGTGACAATGTTTTGGAAATTTAAGTTTTCCAAAGATCCGAGGTTGCAGTGGAGCAGAAGTTTGTCTCTGGGCCACAGCTGGAGCAGCCCGATGTAGGCTTTTTTCCATCGGAACATTTTCTCTGTAAAGCTCCCAGCTGTCTGATGTTTTTGTTTTTACTACCTGGAAATTACCCGTGTGTGTGAGCGCTTTAATTTTCCGTTGAAGAAGACGAGTTACCTGGGGGGGTCAGCCCCGCCATGGCGCCCCTACTCTCACACACGCTCCCCGGTGTGTCGGTCTGACTGAGGGCTCCGATGGACGTGAGCAACGGCCGGACCTACTGCGTCATCCCTAACGCGAGACACCGGTGACCGACTGTCGGCTGCACGCAAAACAAGCCTGGTCTTGTCCCAACGAAGGTTGTCAAGGTGACAGGTGAGGGTTGTGCACGTGACAGGGATGACAGGTATATGCTGAGTGAATTGTGCTGCATTCAGGTCTTGTTTGGAAAGTTGTAAGACGTTTTCAACTGGAAAAGAAGACTGTAGTCAGGTTTTTATGATATGTAGGGGTCCTGAGATCCCTTGAGTACAACCTAAAAATAAAGTATGCAACATGTTTTTGTTATTCAAAGAATAATTTTCCATCATTAAGGTCAATAATTTAATCTTTGTTGATCCTAAGGTGGTTAGAAATACATTGAGAGTGAAAATGCTGGAATATATTTTCAAAAAAGCGTATACATTGTAAAAGTTGTAGTTCCTAAAGTCTCTAAATTCCCTAAAAAGTACAGAGGGCATGACCTCAGTGTCCACCATGCACCGACTCTGCTTTAAAATCCCCTTAATGTCACCAGTTACCTTCATTTACATGAGAATGGTTGGCTGAGCATGCATCCTCTTCTGCATGACCCTGTTTACCGCTGCACTGAAAAATGAATGATTTAACAAAGCAATCACAAACTAAATACAATAGTAATTGATTAAAACAGCCACAAGCTAGTGTGGGTTTAAAGTGACTAATTGCAGAATGGTAAATGAGACTGGTACACTAACAGCAGTCCTGGTACCTGAAGCATCATTTAAATGAGGTGCAGTAACTCAGCTTATAAGGCATTTGAGAGTTTCAGAGCAGCAAAGGGGAAATATTAACACGATACATTCTGACATCAATAAACAAACACCTACAATAAACAAACACCTACAGTCAAAATCACTAAAGAGCTAATTGTAGTCTACAGCATATGGCTTTTACTTTAATATACATGAACTCAGATGTAATACTAACAAAATATAGGCCTTTATTTGTTAAGTGTGGAAAACATGCATGTGATTATAGGGGAAACCGGATGTAATTGTAACATCCCAATATCAGAATTAATCAACCAATCAGAAATGAGTCAGAATCCTGAAACTCAGTGCACATGATCTGTGATGGTTCCTCTCTGCCTGCCAAAAAACAAACCGATGTCTCATACTCTTCAAAATTGGTTAACCAAATAGGTCAAGAGGCTTTTGAGTGATGACATCAAAAAAAAAAAAACATGTCACAATTGCCCCCAGTCTCCCCTACAATACAGATAGTAATTGGATATACTTGAACAGGCCAGTTTGACAGCTGTGTTGACAAGCAATATGGATGTAAACAAGTCTTAAACAACATCAGAAAGTATTAATAACTTTGATTTAGTCATTGTTTAGTGTTTATCAATGCACCGAATGAGATACAATTATGTAGATACAGCAAGTCATTGCTTAAAGTCTTTAAACTGTAGTTGATAAAGTTATTCCCATTTTATGTCAATGTAGCATTGTATGCATGGAGGTACAGTAGGAGCTACTAGCTTACTAAGGCCGGCAAATTACTACAAAACCAGTTACCTGATTAGTTAATAAAGGGGAATCAGTTAAAAAGTCCTACAGTGGCACTGAATTGTGAACTGTTAAATGTGCTCATGTGATTTTTTTGTGTTAACTGATGAAGCAAAGAACAAAAATAAATGCAATTGTTACTTTAAAATTTACACAAATTTCAAATTGGTCCTCCATGGGATCAGTGGCACCCCCAGAAATTTTCCATAGGGGTGGCCAGATGGGGCCCCTGAAAATCTTGGGTTGGCACCCCAAAACCAAGAGCCATAACTGAAATACAGGAATTTGATTATGCTTTTGAAGTATATGGGCTAGTTGGAAACTATGTCAGTATAGAGAGTTAAGGAATTTCATACTGATATACTTTGGTTTCTCATATCACAGTTGATTGTACTAATGTTCTTAGACTAATACTGGTGTCAATAATGGTTTTGAGTTCTCAAACAACCTTGTTCTAATGTGTTATGTATCCGTACATGTTAGGTGATTCATTGTTCTTCAAATAGGCTGGTGGTCCTTTTCCCTAAAAAGACAAATATATAGCTTTTGTTTGAAGGTCTACCTTGATTAGAAGGAACAAAACATTTACAGAGAACAAGCCTTCTCAAGTTTAGGGGAGCCTCATGGGTACCCATCGAACCCATTTTCATTCAGATCTCTTGAGGTGAGAGTTCAAGGGACCCCTTTGAGAATTCTTGCCAATTTCTGGCCAAAATTTAGAGCTTTATTTAGCTCTCTTCCTGACAAGCTATGCTGACATGGTTGGTGCCAATGGATGCCTGAGGTTGTGTCGTTTCACAAGATACCTCTAACTTCCCTAGCTTAAAAAATGAGCATACCACAGCCTCTTAAAGACAGTAATATCAGCCTCCAGTTATTTTTAAGGTGGCCATGGCCCCCCCTTCCGACCGCCACTGCATGTGATACTGTCGTCCTGGGTTATAATAAACGTATTTCTTTGGATGACAAAAAATAGTTGTTGATAGTTTTGTGGTCAACATAAGCGTATGCAGGTATAGACCACAGAAGGCCCTCCTCTTTTGTCTTTATTAACTTTTCTCTGACCTTCACATATTGCTATCTGAACACGAAGAATAGCATTTTCAAAACTCCTTGAGATTTTTTTTATTTGAATGCATCTGCATGTATGTATTAAAACACTACAAAGGGCACTTGAAACTTTACCCCAGGCAAGTACCAGCAAGTTGTCGAGATTGCAATATTTAAATGTGGTGGGTTACCCTGAACCTAAAACACATGTGCACCTGAAACAAGAGAGACATCAGGCCTGGGGATTTTGCCATGAAGCGCTGAGTCCAGATGCATGACTGGCCAGAGACAGAGTAAGAACTGTGGCTGGGAAAAACAGCCTCAGACTAAACACCTCTCAAAGCAGACAGAGAAGAGAGGGGGGAGGAAAATCCATGTAAATCCTGCTAGTCCTGGAAATGTGATACAAGGAAAATAAAGTGGGCACAGCTGACTGAACTGGTAGAGCACAGCCTCCTTCTGCATTGAATTCCCCACATTCCGCCTGGGAGGTAATTAAAATGAGGAAAGCAGGGGAGAGAAGAGGGTAGTTGGGGGAATGGACAGAGAGGTTAGTTGTTGTTGTGTTGTTGACAACAAGGACCCCTTGAGATGCACAATTTGAGCTTTTCTCTCCTGATCCAACACATCTACTGTTCTCTTTGCAAAACATGTTGTGTGTCGAGAGGAGATAATGGCTCTGAGTGTCCTGAAGTGACTGTACATCCATGCAACTATTACGCACAGTAGTAGGGGATTATATGGCACAAGCATGAAGTTCGAAGGGTTGAAGGACAAAAGTACTTGGCACCTAGTCCGTTGGCAGGGGGACATGAGTGCGGCGGAAGCTTGAAAGCAACGTGGCAACTCTCCGCCGACCACAGACGGACATGCCCAGCATTCCTGTGGGTGATTATTACCCAGAAATCCTCAGAGTCAGTGAGTTGCCTCAGGTACCGATGCTGCTCATTTTACTTCTCAGACAGCCTTCTGACTGTGCAAATCTTCCCCCAGAAAGACAGCTGTAACCCCTTCTGTAGGCCCCGTCCTCAGACACTGTTCATCCCGATTTCTGGTATTTCCCTGTTCTGTTTTGTTGTTGTTGTTGTTGTTGGTTATATTGTCCTTAGTTCTCTAGGCTTAGGAGGCACATAACTACTTGTGTTTGGAATCTCTAGGCATCTCACGATTTGATCTTATTCTGAATCAGAAGGCTACGCTGCAGTTATAAAATGACTGATGCATCAAATTCTTTTGCCTCTGCACCAGTAGCCGTGGCCAGAGGCATTATGTTTTCAGGTTGTCCGTATCACTGTACAGCCATGTGTATGTATGTCCATTCATCAATACATCGTCCATCCCATTCTTGTGATCGTTGTATTTCAAGAAGGCCTTAAGGGAGTTGCTTCAAATTTGGCACAAACATCCACTTGGACTCAGAGATGAACAGATTAGAATTTGGTGGTCAAAGGTCACTGTGACCTCACAAAATGTGTTTTTGGCTGCGATACGCTAATTTGTACTCTAATTAAGACAAAATTTCAAACAAATGTCCAATAGGATATACTGATGAAGTGATGACATTTTATATGCAAAAGGTCAAAGGCCAACTTGTGACATCATAATGTTTTGCAAAAACACCTATCTGGCCATTATTCAACATCAGATCTCTGGAACAGAAGGGGAGACTTTTGGTCAGATACTTAATTGATGTCACTCATCTTGAGACTATGCTGATTGTATAGATCTTCTTTGTTGCCAGGGAGGGGGAAAGATGTGTGTAAAGCACTCATGTTTTTTTACAGACATGGATGTAAACCATTACTGCAACTTGACTGGTTCACGGATACATACAACCATGAGACGGTAGTTCTAGTTTTTCTTATATACATGATTTAGTTTTTCTCACTGTATGACTTCTACCTACTAGGGCTGCACGATATGCAAAAAAATCATATTGAGATTATTTTGACAGATATTGCAGTTGTGATATGAGTTGTGATTTCGGTGGGAAAAGTAATCTTTGCATTTTATTTGTACTGAACAAAGTATAGAAATGGTAACGATGTGATTTTTGCTGGGGTCGTTTGTACCAAACAAGTATGTTCCCTTACATCTTGAATATGATTTGTTGGCCGGAGCATCTCCGTAGCACCACAATGCTTCACTCATAATCGTTTACTAATGTTTTTTTTGTTTTGTTTTGGTTTTTTTTAAATATTTCATTTTAAGTTTTTCAATGTAGCATGAACATCACAACCCATTCCCTCCAAAAAAAACCCCTCAATATAGAGACACATAATGATATGTTTTGAGACATTTTACCTTAATCAAAAAAATGCAGCCTCTGCAATTTGGATATTGCACTTGGCCATATTGCTATTTTAATAAGTTTCAATTAATTTTGCAGCCCTACTTGCTACTTTTAAAAAATAGCTTATTTGTAATGATCCACAGTTAAAATAATCAGATGAATTTACTTCCATTATCTTTTATTAATACAATAGTAGTAACACATGAAGACCCAAATGTTAACGTTCATTACGTTTCACCAATGCACAGCCTGTTCGTACAAAACTGTTAGGGGCAATCATAATGTCGAGAATTGGGATATTACTTTCTGATTATTGTCTTTTCTGCATCAAGACATAATCTGTCAAAAAAGAATTGCAATGCAACTAAAAATCTATTTTTTCATCCTCGTAACTAAGGTTGGCAAGGTGAAGCACATGTTGAATCGAAGCACCTGCTGTGTTTACAGAAGACTCTGGTTTATATCTCTTTCTTTTCCACAACTTAAAGCCAGTCATGGACATTACTGAGAGGCTAATCTTATTTGTAGTGACACAATATGGCCATATGTATATGTAACTTGGCTCATAGTCAGGCCAAACATGGAGTTATCATCCAGGCACACTTACAACATATGCTGTAACCTAACAATAATGTTATGGTAAAGATTAGGGATGAACTGCTCACTGGAATGCTATCTGTGCTGATTCTGATCCTATTAAGCAAACTAAGTGTTGGCCAGACGTGACAGTTTCATGCAGTGAGAGATATAAAGATTTTGAAAGTTTGTAAGAGAGCTCAGATACCTGAGTTGATGTGCTGGAATAAAGAGAGAAAAAAAGTTTGTTCATCTCTGGAAGAGATAGTTTATTTTAGTTAAGTCTCTGATTTGATGGGTGAGTGATTGTCTTTTGTTTTTGTTTAAAGTGGTGAGTCAGCCATATCTGCTTCACCAGCCAATTTTTGTCCATCTTCTACTGTAACTGTAAACTAAACCTAAGTTTGTTCTTTAAAGACCTCAGAGTCTCAAGAACACAAGAGTCCTTTTGTGTTCTCCTTTGTTGAATTAATTTAAATTCAATGGTTTATTGGTACAAATTTGGGGGAAACCCTCTCCATTGAAGGAAATGCCTCAGTTTATAATCCTGTTGACGCCTTGAACTGGATAATATTGCCCTGTTAACATTCAACAATGGAGCTATAACGCAGCTGAGTTGGGGGGTTTCTGCAGCTCGTGCAATCAGAGAAGTTTAAAGCTGGTAGATATTTAAAATGGCCAAAAACTCCCAGTAAAAAACATTCTTCCCATATGAAGCATGCCAGACTGATCGCTGCCAGTGCAGCTTGAATTTCAGCCGTTTCCAATTGTCATTCTTTCTCATGGGCAAAACACACAACACACATTCACACATGCACTGCACACTTTCTCATTCACTCAGTCAGAGAAATCTTTAGGTATGTGTTCTGCAGACTTAGGCTACTTTTTTTTTTACATGTCTGCAAGGAATTATGCATGGAAAAAACGGTCTGTGCTGTAAATGAAAATTAGGTTCTCTGTTTAGCGTCAGATTAAAACACTCTATCATGTGATTTAATTGCCTAGATACCATATAACAGGGGTGCAGTGCAGCCTCTTTGTCATGCAAGCCTTCAGGTAATTCCCTTTTTCTTATGACCTCTCTATCTTTGTAATGTTTACCACCACTGTGATTTTTTATGGACTGAGGTACTTGCATACTGACAAGTTTTGTGAGACTGGCTGATAACCTTTGTCATATGTCATCTCCTGTCCAACTCGATGACTCACATCCTTCTGCTCTGTCTCCAAGCAAAAGAAATATGAACAAGAATAGTGCCAGCACCAGTTATTACACAGTTTCTCTTATGCCTAATTGATTTCTGTTTTTATCACTGCAGGCTGTGGGCGGGTTGGCAAGTTTCTGAAGACTTGTTTGTTGACCACATATGCAAATATCGCCACAATGAGTAAGTCTCCTACATTCTGATCCTAGACAGACATTTAGAGCATGGTTTCCACACAGCATGAGATAAAAACAGACACTCAGACCAAACACTATCCCTGAGGCCAAAGCCTGTGCGAGCTGCTGCTCCAGACACTGTCGGGTGAAGGATTGGTTTTCGGCGTTATGGAGATAGGGCTCTGGTTCTCTCCACTGCCCCGGGGCTGTATGATGTCTGTCCAAGCTACACAAGGAGAATATTTTGTCTTCATGAGTTAGTCCAGCAGAGGCAGAGCTTGCCCTGAGATCAAACATGGGAATAGGCATATCAAAAACACTGCAGTCCTTCCCTGCCTCTAATACCCTGTCACGAGATAGTCTCAATACAGCTGTAGTCAAAGATGACTGACTAATTGTTTGCACACACCTTTTAGCGCAGGACTAAGTGCAAGGGGCTCATATCTCTCTCTTTCTGACATACGGACATACAGAGGCCATCCATTATCTAATCCACACTCTAATTGTGTATTTTTCCCAACCCATTATCCTCTTCAGATGAGAGGCAGGCTCTCCACTCTATAATGAAGGACCTGGTTGCCCTCCAGATGACACGGCGCCAGCCTGTGCTGTCGTATGACAGCGGCAAACCCAAGGCACCGGCCCAAGCCAACAGACAGGTGCGTTAAAGCTGCAAAACATTTCAGAAGAAGACTTAAGATGGTTTGGAAGCTCAAGCTTGTGTAGAGTTTTCCTCATGAACCAGGATTTAAACTCAGGAACAATAGAAATGGTGCTGACTGACAGGGTAATGCTTTTGTTATTATCCAGGCTTCACATAAGTCAGAATACTCAGTTATTTAAGTTGAAGCTCGAACATCTTGGTCCCATGAGAAGGCACCCATGTTATGAAAGTTTTCCTAAGATTAAGTGAATCTGAAGTGGTTTTAGTAGTGTTGTTCTAAAGAAGCAATGTAACAAGGTGTTTAGGGAGACCCTGAAACCCAAAGCTCTCAGGTTTAACCCCACAAAACACCCATGCATTTTGTTATGGTGCCCCTCAGCAATAAAAGAGGTTCAGCTGAATTCTCAAAGTAGAAAAAATCTAAATAAAACGTATAAAATGTATAAATGAACTGTGGTAAACTTCTTTCCATCTTACCAGCACCCACATTTCCCTGCTCATCTCTTTCGCTGGCTCTAGGGCTATAGCTCGAAGCTACTGCAGCACCTGCAGTGTTTGTTGGTTCAGTGCTGTCACAGCCTTTTTTCTCAGTTTTCTCTGGTCATGTAGCACCAGTTTAATAAGTATCCAATATTTCTCTATTGCATGGACAGCCCATATTTATGAAAAGACCCTCTTTCCGGCAGTGAAATACTTATTTGAGGTGAGGTTGATGCGTGGTAAACCTAGCAGGCAGTGGATGGTCTTCTGTCCACAGCATAAATCTTAAACCCTCCATTTGCACACAGTTGCATAGCTGTGGAGAAAATTAAACACATTGGGAGAGATTTGTCTTTCATTTGTAGTAGGAGTGACGCTAAATTCAGTCAGGGGGGGCCTTAAATACTGACAAAATAATGTTTTTCTTCATGACTAGAGGTTTGTCGACTCTAGAGTTTAGATTTCGGACCACTGCTATAATAAAGAACCATATAATTCAGTATCACCCATTCAAGTGTGTTCTTGTTTCTTCCCGTATTTCTTCTAGCCCACACAGTTAGCTAATTTAGCGTAATGACAGACAGATTCCCAAGATAGCCACCTACAAATTCATTAAATCCAGTTATTTTCAGCTTCTTCTCTAAAAATATATTCCGCCCGTGTGGAAAAGTGGCCAGTAGCCCATCCACCCTCGCTTTCTACCGCAGCTGCAGCCTCAGAGAATAGCCAAAGCAGACAACTCCAGCAATCCAGTGTTTTCTTAAAACCAAAGATTGTCCCCCTGGGAGAGACAGTCTCCACCATTTTCCCACCTCAATAACTTAGGTTTGGACTTGTTATAAGTGGAAATGGGTTTTTACAAATTAAGTAGCAACAGAGGAGGTGCAGAGTGAAATGTCTTACCAGCAAATGTGTGAGGCCAACATGTGAAGCCAGTGCATGTGCAAATCAGTATTTAACTCTTTCCTTGTGGGAAAATCACATCTTTGACAGTTATGATCGTCATTTTACTTATTTTTTTAGTGTTAACGTTGACCTTCCTGTTTCTGTTTTCTCTCAGGACGATGTGAGGATAAAGTTTGAATTCTCAGGCGAGCGGAGGTGAGCTTGGTTTTTTTACATGCATGTTGTGTGGTATGTGTTGGTATTTCACAAACATTCACAAATATATCTACACGCAAGTCAGAGAGAGCATAAACGCACACCAGAGACATAAACACACTCACCCAGGCATGCTGCTCTTGTCACATGTTCCAGTTCATGAGAAAGAGTACATCTCAGACTCCACTCCAGCACTTAATTCAGACTGGTATGTGAGCTGGAGAATAAAGGGGAAAGGACTGTGGTTAGCTTGTGGCTGCCAGCGCAAACCACAAATATGCAAGGTGTACTTAGAGGAATCTGCACGCACTAAAAAAAGCAGCTTGTGTGTATTTTGCCTGCACATGTGCATGTAAGTCAAGAGGAGTTTCCTTCACAGCCGGTACAAATCTCTTCATAATCTGTCTGTCTGTGTGATTTCTCTGTAGGATCCTGATGTTTGGGAGGCCCGTGCAGTTCGATGAAATCCAGCAGAAAGTCAAGGCTGTCTTTGGCCAGCAGCTAGACCTGCATTATATGAACAATGAGGTAAAAGGGAGACGCTGGAACCTTTGCTTCTTTGAATCTTTGGTATTTTTGCTTGAAAAATGAACTAACCGGTAAATCAATCATGGAAATAGTTGCTGTTTTATTTAGCATTAATGGACTTTCAATCGAATTGTTTCACAAAAATGTCTAAATATGAACGTGTGTGTTTCCATAGTTGAATTGAAAAGGAATTTTCATTTTGGTCCTAATTGTTGCACATATCTGCATGTATATGTGCGTCTATGTATGTCATGTATTGATTAAATATTTGTATATTTGAAAATGCTTCCAAAAGCCTTTGTATGCTTGTGAATCTTGATATGTGACTGTGCATATATGTTATTGATTGTATGTTTCAATGTTTTTCCTTTATCCTCGCAGTTGTCCATCCCTCTGCGAGATCAGGATGACCTAGACAAGGCAATCGACCTGCTGGACAGAAGCTCCAACATGAAGAGCATCAGGATCCTGCTGCTCACTCAGGAGCACAGCAATGTGAGACACACACAAACACAAAAGCACACACACTTGGTGCATAATTACAGCGGACCATTGCACCACTGATATTTCTTCACCACAGAGCCATGTTGTGTAAAATCAGAGTTCCTCATTATATTTACATTACACGAGCTGGCCAGATGACACAAAGAGGTTATGTGAAGTCCAGATGGAACTACATTTCGAGAGTATCTAGCTTCAGTATTGTACCTACAAAGACTACGGCCAATGGCCCATTAGCACATATGTTTTGCGGTTATGTGAGAGGGAAAACTCTCTATACCAGTAAGTGGAGGTGGTCTGTATTCGTCATTAAAAAAAGGAAACTGGAAAATCGACAGGATAGATTCAAGACTTTATTTAGCCAGTTAGCACGTCAACAACACAACCCAATGTTGAAAGAAAAAAATTATAATTGTCATGTGAGTAAATTGTAGCTGGAAAACAAACCCAGGTACTGTGCTGTTGCTAGCTAGCTAACTTAATCTATAAAGTTGCAGATTGATTGATGGGGAGATGTTATGGTATTATGAGTTGAAATTTGTTGGTACTAGCTCACATAAGCGTCTCATTTTGCTTTACAGAAAGAAAACATGATTGGGATTTGATACAAGAACATAAGAATATTTTTTTTGTATTTTTTATTTCTTTTTTTTTTAACATATATTGGTAAACAAGTGCACTGTATGACAACAGGACTTTAATCATATGTTGAGGTCTTTTTAAACCCCTTGTTCTCCCTTTTTCGTTTCAACTGCAGGCCTCCTCCCCCTCCCACCATGTGCCATGCAAGCAGGTGAGGATCAAGTCCTCCCAGTCCACTGGAGACGTCAGCACGGTGTATCAGTCCTCCGAGCCCAGGGGGCACCACCTATCAACTGGTACATGTCTTCACCTGTCATTCAGACTCCTCTCTGATCTCTCTGCAGCAACATGATTCACACACTTATTCACAGATGGATACACAGACGCTTTGTTTTTCTCAGAAGCCTCAACATTTTGTTAATATTCAGTTGCTGGTAGTTCAGCTGTCGTGTTGTCGAACTGTCGAACAACTTCTTTTTCATGACCTCGATTTCCCTGTCTGTCGCCTTCTCTCTCGCTCTCTCTCTGGCTGTTCTTTCTTTGGCTTCCCCTTTTAGCAATGGGTCCACTTCCTTTTCCTGTTCACTATCACTAGATGATGCCTGCTGGATGGCAGCCAGTCAAATTACAGAATGCTGGTGGTGGACCAGTGGCCTGGTTTAGGATGAAGTAGCTGCAGGAGGGCTTGAGAGCTGGACTTTGACAGCACCAGGCCATAAATATTAAAGTCAGCTCCTTTAGGTCAGACTGGAAGAAATCAACACTTTTATTTGGAGAGAGGGCCTTACTGAATATTCAGGGGTTTTTTGACAGTCATGACAGCATTGTAACAGAAGGTTCGCATCGATGTAAGGTGTGTGAGTCTCAGCTACTGCATGTTTGCTCTTGCGCTGTCTTTACATGGGAAAAAATTAAATGTTTGTTTCAGATGTTCTGCAAAGCAGTTTTTCCAACTGATGCCCCTCAAAGCACATTGCTGCTGACATTTTCATGCACATTTCAGGCCTCAGGCAAAGTCCAGATATTGTTTTACATACTATTTTCCTTTATTCTCGTAACTGCTGTCTCATTACAGGTTCTCAGAACACGGGGCGTAGCTCACCGCCTCCTGGCTACGTACCTGAACGTCAGCAGAGGATCGCCCGCCAAGGTTCATACACCAGCATAAACAGTGAAGGGGAGTTCATCCCTGAGACCAGTGATCAGTGTGTGAGTCATAGCTTCACTATTAATGGGGAGAAAGCCACCTTAAAGTGGGAATCATGTGGTGTGTTTATGACCTGAGAGACTGTTGAGATTTGATCATATAAACAACTCGTCCTCAAAGCTGGAAGCCTTTTCCCGTTTTCTGAAGTTTTATTGACATTGTGATAGCCTTTCTGGAAAAAATGAAATATATAAATAAATATAAATTCCATTTTAGGATGGATTTTTCTCACTGAGACGTGTGTACACAGCACATGTGCATACACACCCTTCATTTTTCATTGTGCCCTGTGCAGGTGTTGGATCCCTGGAGCAGTGCAGAAAACTCTGTCTCTGGAAGCTGTCAGTCTCTGGACAGCAACTCAGACAGGTGAGAAACAAACTGCCAGGAAGTCACTACTCATTACATCTTTTATTGTCTTTCTGTTGCATTCCTATAATTGGTGTTTGCAAAATTGAAATTACTGCAACCTGCTCCGTATAAAAACCTAAATACGGTCTCTTAACATTTCTTGCTCTTCTTCCTTTCTTCTCCTCTCTCACAGCCCCTCACTGAGGAAGTCTCGCATGCACAGAGCCAAGAGTTACCCTGATAATCGTCAGGAGTGCTCAGGTGAGAGCAGCTAAAAGAAAAGCTTCTTCCAACATTTAATTTTCCCAGTAACCACACGGAAATGCTGTGTTAAAGCAGTGCACTCACATCTTAGGGGATAAAGCATTGTGACAGCCACTTTCAAACTTCTTTTAAACCTTCAGGACACCATGGTGGAAGATTTCAATTGTCTATAGGTTGCAAGTTGTGAGAGATACATTAAAGTTTGTGTTTATAGCAAACTATGAACATAATTACTTGTCTGCCGAGGCCTTATATAAAAGCTAAGGGTACAACATCACTGATTTGATAAAGAAATTTATGCAAACAGTGATTTCAAGTCCAGATCTGTCTTGTTTTTCATAAGTGTAAGATACAAAGGAGAATAATTAAGTGGCTCACGTGAATGTTGTGTGACTCTGTGCAACTGAGCTAAACTGGTTTTACTACAGCATAATCCTGCTGACATGTGACCTTTGGATATTTGCTTTCAGACAGGGAGAATCATGTGTATGACAGGGTAGCAGGGAAAGGAGGCACCTACCCTCGTAGGTACCACGTCTCCCTGCATCACAAGGACCACAGTGAAGGTAAGACAATTAGCGTTGTATCAATTGTGTGACTTATTCCTAACACTCTCTCTTTGCACTGTTTTCTCCCTTAATCTCTCTTGATCGTCATGTGATATTTGACTTCAGCCAGCATCTTTCTCACTCTTCTTCAGGCCGACGGACGTTTCCGCGGATCCGTCGCCCCCAGGGCAACCTGTTCACTCTGGTGCCCTCGCGCCGGTCGCTCAACGGCAGCGAGGAGAGTTTGGGCAGCTGGCAGCTGGTCGATGCTCAGGGCAGGCTCCGTCCCCAAGATCGTTCTGTTCCACATAAGTGTGAGTGGTGATCTAGATAAACCCTTTACAAATTGTCCCTCGGAATATACACTTCCTCTTTTTAGGATGATATAAATTCTGATGAGATAAATAGATGATGATGACATTGCACTGTTTAAGGGCAAATACCAATGATTCCTTTGTAAACTGTACCATATGCCTCATTAAAAATGCGCAACAATTCAGAGTCAGATAAGAAGATTGTAATGCTGCAACTGTTGATTATATCTGCACATTATTTTCATGATTAATTGATTATTAATTGACTTCATAGTATTTTAAAAATTCTTATTGCAATTTCACAGATAAGCAGTTTCTTCAAATAGCTTCTTTTGTCAAACCGACATGTTTATGACTAAAATGATAAATCAATGTCAAAAATAGTTTGCAATTAATTTTCTTTCAATTGACTAATCAATTAATTGACTAATTGTTGCAGCTCTAGAACACAGATATCAGTTTCAACCTTGTGCATTCAGTACAGAGATAGGTTTGTAGTAGTAGCTTACCACAAAGCCTGGAAGCTGAAGGAAACTGTCTGCTTGTGAGGAAAAAGTTAAAATATTGTTCTTTGTGATGTGCAGGACATGTTGTTTATTTCATGTAAAAACATAAATGAGCAGCTGAGTTTGTGTGTGTGTTTCTTCAGCACCCAGTGCTCCGATGACGTGGCGGCGGGGGAAGCTTCTGGGCCAGGGAGCGTTTGGACGAGTTTACCTGTGTTACGATGTGGATACTGGGAGGGAGCTGGCTGCCAAGCAGGTCCAGTTTGACCCTGACAGTCCTGAAACCAGCAAGGTGAGAAACTAACAAAGATACTTAAAGGTATACTAAGCAGGATCATCGGTTACTGTTTGTTCACCCCGCTATGTGTGTATTTTTCTCTGTTGTGTCTCTTTGATGTCCACAGCTTATGGTCTGGCACCTGGTTGCTACCTTTTCATAAAGTCGCAAACTCACCTGAGCGTCTCAAACACAGTAACAAGAAGAAAATACAGGCAGAGGGCAGAGTCTGAGAAGAAAAATACACCGTCACACACTTCTAGTGGGTCATAAGTGACGGTTGAGAGGAATTACTTGTGTATGAGTCTAGACATTGTGTTTTGAAAAATACAGCATAGTATATCATTGTGGTTCTCATGTTTTCACAAATGCATTATGCTCTTTTCTCTTTCCGGTGCTATTGAGAACATTTCCATTATTTCTTGTGACATGCCACTTGTTACTTCTTCAGCCATAAAAAAATGTTTTCATTGCTGACATCGCATGCAATAATGAAAACAAGTCCCGCTACTTCTGGTTGCACATTAAAAAGCTGTTTTGGTCAGGAAATGGTGTCTTTTCCTCAATACTTTTACAATTTAACTCACGGATGATGACATTAGAGTCTTTTGTAAAATACCAAACCACAATTTGTTGATTAACAACAAAGCATGACAGCGCTGTGACTGTAAAAGCACAAAAATGACCTCATATGTTGTGCATGTTAACTTTTTTCTGCCATTTAGCTGGAATGCAGGTAGTTACCACAACTGACTGAGCATTTCATTTATAAATCAACTATCTTAGAAATATAAGTTAGTTTCTCAGGTCAGGTGTTGAGCCACAAAATTTTTATTTTATCCCCTGACACAGAAATAAAATAATCAGTCTGCAGGAAAGAAATTGAATAACTCAAGAAGTGGAATGTATTGAAGAGGTTTTCTTTCCTCCCTCCACCCCCCTCTTCCCCATTTTAATGTGTTTTCCTGTCGTCCACAGAGAAAACATGCACTGTCACTTCCTGTATCTGAATGGAGGCGAGAGTTGTTGGGGGAGCGGTGGCGGTGAGGGGTGGCGGGTCAGCGTTGCCTTGGCCTCCCGTCACCCCCTCACACGCCCATCCTCAGCTTGCAGCAGATGTGAATCAGTTGCTTCTATTAAGCCGGCTTCTGTGTTGGGACTTGGGGATTACTTTGACTTCCCCCTCTCTGTCTCTCTCTGTTGTGGCCTCATTCTCTGATGTAAACACAGGAACTTCTTTTGGGGAACTGCGCTGTTGGCTTTCATTTACTCTCTGCTTTAAGTTTCACTTTTGGCAGACTCCACACGCAGCCATAAATCACTGTGTTGCATCCCTCTGTTTATGGTTACATTTGTTTGTCATCAGTGGTTACAGATATGACGGAGCCTGTGGGGCTCCACTGTGTCCAGAAAATGCATTTTGTGTACAAATGAAAACATTAAATCAGCAAAGATGCATTGTTCAGACATGACAGCTTTTATGTTTAATGTCTAAATCTTAACTGTCATTTCCCTGCCTCTCATTGTTTCTGTGCAGGAGGTCAGTGCTTTAGAGTGTGAAATCCAGTTGCTGAAAAATTTGCATCACGAGCGCATTGTTCAGTACTACGGCTGTTTGAGGGACCACAATGAGAAGACCCTCACTATTTTCATGGAGTACATGCCGGGGGTGAGTCCCAGCAATTTTAATATCATGGCTTCAATCAGGGTTCAGTGAAATTATTGTTTTCACAAGTTGGAACCTTGAAATCAGTTCAGTAACCTCAGTCTTTGTGTCCAGTCTAATGTTATGATGTAACTAAGCCAGGCATATGAGCATGAAATAAAGACAAGAGGAAAGCAAGACTGACTTCCCATGACTGTAACATTTTGTACTGATATTAAGTTGGCAATTTAAGCATTCAAAAAGTGGTTGGACATGCTTTATCTATTCCTCCCAACTGACATTATGCCCAAGGTTTATAAAATGAAAACTTTTTCCTTGCAACCGCAGACACTTTTCCAGGAACCTTTTTAGGAACTCAGCTTTGACCTCAGTAACCTTGTTTCAGTTTTGGAGCATGGGCTTTAGTTTTATAGCCAACATCTTGACAAGACTAAAAGAAATAGTGAGATAAAGAGACAGTGGGAGATGAAGTTATGTTCTGAAGCAGTCAGCTTGGAGTCAGATCAGATTTTCTGAAGTTTGAGGTCTACAAATAATTGATGGTAAAGCAGATCAACTCTACCTCGTGTCTGCATTTCTGGAATTTTTATCTCCCATCTGCATGTCAGTTCAGGCATGACACAAATATGCTATACTACATTGGAAACAAATGTTTTTAATCTTTTATCAGTCTTCTTGTTTGTTTAATCACTGCTGTTCTACGGGTGTGGTGAAATCACAAACACAAATGTGATAAAGGAAAATTTACTCCCTGATTTAGTTTATGAGGTTCGTTCCTGGGACTTAAAGAGCCTGTTTATATTGGTATTTATACTGGTATTTTCATGCGTTATGGGTGATCCATTCACAAGTGGACAGCTCTAAGTCTGTCTGTTCACACCTGGCATTAGAATGCATCTCCACATGCATCTTGAGTGACCATGTGTTGTTTTTAACTGAGTCTGCCCGCACACACAGTGACAGGGCTAGCTGTTAGCATTAAATGGCTGTCACCTAACGGTTTTAATGGGTTCAGTGACAGAGTGGTGTGATTCTGGTGTCGGTTTGAGATTTTCAGGATTGTTTTACAGCTGCTGCTGTGTTTAGATTGTGCTCACCAGGCAGATGTTGAACTAACTGTTCGCCAGGAGATGAGCGGCTCTGTGGACAGTCCTCCTGGCGCAGAGTCAATAAGTAAGGATGCCAGCTGAGTAGGCAGTCCTTCAGTTTGACCCAGGACACATTAGTATACACACTGCTGAAAGAATGTGCCATACAAGGCCCAGATCAACTTCAAATGTGGTCTGAGAGATTGGATCATAAGATGCATTGAGGGCGCGTTTGGTGCATTCTCACCTCTGCTTAGATCTGTTCACTTGTGATCTTTTCACCCCCGACGCACGTTTATACCATGTGTAAACAGGGCCATAATTTCTGGTACTATTGGGTCAAAAAGGGCCATCACATTGCCCATACTTTGAACACATCAAATATGTGTTTCATGGGCCAGGTTTTATCTTGGCTCCTTTACTATCTGTGTTCCTGGTTCGGACCTTGAATGATGGGAGTCATTGGTGGTCTTAAACCCTGGATGTGTTCACAGGCCGTGTGCTGTTGTGTAAAGCACATGCTTTCTTCCTATCAGGGTTCAGTCAAAGACCAGCTGAAGGCCTATGGGGCACTGACAGAAAACGTGACCCGAAAGTACACAAGGCAGATCCTGGAGGGCATGTCCTACCTGCACAGCAACATGATCGTACACCGGGACATCAAAGGTAGTCCTGATAAACCGCAGCAGCTCGACTATATCACACTGTTTAGACACTAGATAAATGTTTAGACAGTGTTTTAATATAAAGATGTTTGTGTTTCACAGCATGTGAAAAGGGTCGAGTAAGAGTTAATATTTACATGTTCCATGTCAACTCAGGTGCCAACATCCTGCGGGATTCAGCGGGCAACGTGAAGCTTGGAGATTTTGGTGCCAGCAAGAGGCTGCAGACCATCTGCATGTCTGGCGCTGGCATCCGCTCTGTGACCGGCACCCCCTACTGGATGAGCCCGGAGGTGATCAGTGGAGAGGGCTAAGGCAGGAAGGCTGATGTCTGGTAAGACCAGGAGATACAGATTAAAGTTTGATCATAGCAAGTGTTTTTAGGGACAGAGGTCATTGTTGAGCTAAATTAATATTAGCCGAGAAGTTCATCCAAAACTTCAATTCAACATGAACTGATTTACAAATACACAGTGTAGATTTCCATGTCTTTGCCTTTTTTTTTTAAATCAAACTTAGAGGTTATTTGGTAACAAGATGCTGCTATCACAATAGTGTATTAGTACATTGACATGCAGTTTTGGTGATTGGAAGAGTACATGCCTTCCAATAGAAGCACATTTTACAAATGAATCCATGAGGAAAGGCGACCCTGAATAGGATAAGTGGTCACAGATAATGAATGAACGCATAATAAATGAACAAGGACACTAAGTAATGGTAGATACTGTAAATACAAAAGAGAATTTTAATTGAGTCTTTTAGACTTAAACTCTTGGTTGTTAATGGGATCTAGAAGCACGGTAACTACTCTGATAATCTAGTGGCACAAACCAGTGTTGTAGTCAAGACCATCTAAACCAAGTCTAAGCCATGACCAAGACTCAAGTGTATCAAGACCGAGACAAGACCATAACAGTGCAAGTCACGCACTGCACACACTTAGAATAAAATGTGGAACATGCAAATCATAGGCACTCCTCAAATTGATCTCCAAGATCTACAGTTCCATAAAAACCCAACAGATAACATATTGAGATCCCTCCTCTGTCACCTCTTTTGTTGCTATACTGTTTACATATGTGTATGTGTAAGTGTACCATAAAGAAAACATTGTAGGCAGGCACTGCAGAGATGAATTTTCCTTTGTTTTCCAAGCGCAAAACAAGTAGAAAACAAACAAAGGAGCTTTATTTAACACTCCTGTCTTTTTTTGTACAGGCCATTTAGTAATATCCCCTGCAGTTGTGGTCTTGATCGCCGTTGAGATAAAGTCTAGAGTTCTCTTTGACTGAGACAGAGACAAGACTGAGTAAAAATGCAGTTGAGACTGTGACCTTCAGAAAGGGGTCTTGAGACCGGTCTTGAGGACTACAACACTGGCACAAACAATTGAGCATTTTTTGCTTTAAGGGAATATATGTAGCTGCTTATACTGCTGAAGTGTAAAACTTGTGTGACTGACAAACATGCACATACACAAAAGCAGACACAATTGCTTATTACAGGTTCAAGCAACAATTTGATGAAAGTGACACCTGCATATCCCTGTAGTCAGATTGAAATAGGGACAAAGGTTATGTTCATGTCGGGACTGGGTAGAAATACTTAACCTTTATTCAACAAGATCGTTTTAAGTCACCAGGGGCTGACTGGGTGGGACTTGTGAATGTGAAAAAGGGAAAATACCAGCATCTTAAACTTTAAGTGGCAGAATCTCTGTACTCTCAAATGAGAAAGTTTTTAATAAAGCGAGGAGCCTGCTACCACACTCCCACACTCAGAGCAGACTACATTCCCTTACGCAATCTGTGATTGGGTGGTGACCCAGCAGGAGAGTGATGTGATTGGCTGAAGGCCAGTCAGACAGGTTGTAACAGAGGTTGGTATGTTCCAGGTTCTCAGCCCAGGCTGGAGGGGGAGTAACGCTCCCAGGAGGTCTTATACCTCCCAAACAGGTGGAGGGGCGAGTGTGAGAGTTTCCACTCAAAACATTCCTGTAAAGCTTTACTGTTGAGCAGCTAGTTTGTTGTATTTGTTTCAGTTTGTTATGCGGTTAAACTATAGCAGAAACAATCCTGCATTTCTTTTACAGGAGCCTTGGTTGTACGGTGGTGGAGATGCTGACAGAAAAGCCTCCATGGGCTGAATACGAGGCCATGGCGGCCATATTCAAGATCGCCACCCAGCCCACCAACCCACGGCTGCCCTCGCACACCTCCGACCAGGCACAGGACTTCATAAGCTGCATTTTTGTGGAGGCCAAACACAGACCCAGTGCTGAGGAGCTGCTCAGACATCCCTTCTCCCAGATTCTGTGCTGAAACCTGCCTAGTTTCTGAACTTTAACCACAGAGTAGCCTCAGCAGTATCTGTAGCTTCCTGAAAGCCATCCACGGCAGAAATCCAGATGGTGAACTGGTCTAGAAGTCAGTGTTTAACCCACTGAACCTCTGCCCTTCTTACACAAATCCAAATAACAAGGCAGTCCGACAACAACTGTCATCAATGCCTTGAAAACCAATGCCAGTAAATGCTCTTACAAGAGTCACCACCAGGGGGAAACCAAACATTAAGTATCTGGTGGGCTGCTGATCTTTCTCAGATACAAACACGCGCACACACTCCAAAGGCAGCATCATTCAAGTCAAGCAGTCTCCAAAAAATATCCTCTCCTGTGTTTACATTCACACGTTGGGCAGTTGTGAAAAACTGAAGCCAAGGAAGCCTCACAGTGTTTGACATTTAAACATCTAGCTCAGCACCATTTTAAAGCTACAGGTCACCACAGTGTGAATTGGTTTGTTCTCTCATTTCCACTTCATCTCTGTCTCGTTTTAAAAAAGAAAACCCTTAAACTAGAGCTCTGTTGAAACAGCTTAAGCTATTAGTGAAGCACTTTGCAGTTCTGACTGCATGTTTGTGTAGATTGAGTGAAATAGATGAAGCAACGATACATGGAGACGTGTAGAGTAGCTACACTGGAGTTTAGTAGAGCAGTAATTAATGTTAAACACACCAAGGTATTTTTTGGTTCGAGCCCTACATATTTTACCATGGTCTAGTAATCTTGCAGGTAGAAATTAAAGGTACACTATGCAGGATTGTCTGTTACCATTTCGCCTGCACAAGCGAAAGTAAAAGCCAACCCCAGATTCACTTGTTTGGCGTTCTGCCTCACTGTATTTGCGTATATGGGTGCTGTGTCTCTTGGATGCCTGCTGCTTACTGTCTGGCACCCAGGCGCTACCTTTTCATAAAACCCTGATCTCACCTGAGCGCTTTGGGGATACATGGCCATAAATATCATGAGCATAGAAAACAAGAAGAAAATAGAAAAATACAGGCAGAGGACCAGAGTCTCTGCAGAAAAATACAGCACTGCACTGAAAGTGAGTCGTAAGTGATGATTGAGGGGAATTACTTCTGTATGAGTTCATATATTGTTTTTAAAGAAAATCCTGCATAGTATATCTTTTATAATAAGAGCTAAATACATATGTTTCTCCACTGATAGTACCTTCGGTGGACCTTTATGTCTGTTATGTGTTTCTGTTACATTCAAGTCACAGTGAGAAGCATCTGTTTCCGTGTAAATAATTACCTGGTGATCTTTGATTTGTGTTTAACAACACTTACTGCTGTGCATTTGGATGTAAAACTATTCAGTCTACTGCACAGCAAAAAGATTTTTAACTCTTTTAAATTTGCAATTACACACAAATATAACTGATGACTTTTTAAAAAATATATATATATATGGTTCACAACGTCATTACCAGCTAGCATCTTTGCTGTACTGTTTTTCTTGGTTGTACAAAAATGGCAAGGACATATCTTGTCCAGCTACTGGGATAGAAAATACAGACATAAATTGACAAACTTACTACAAAATCTTTATTTTATTTTTTTGGTTCATAGTGCAGCAAATGGGATTTTTTTTTTCTTCGTCCAGATGGTCAGAAGACCAGCGCAGTGGTTTAAGATTTATTTTTCAGAAAAACAAATGCTTAGCTCTGTGGCTTAAAAGTAATTGTAACATGAGAGGCACAAACTGAGGCTTTGCAGCTACAACACCTGATTTAAGTCAAAGGCTCTTTATTTTCTCTTGCTTCACTGTTTCCGTTCTTCTACCTGTAAAACTAACCAGTTGAGTCTTGGGCTGCCTACATTCAAAATTCTAGCCTAAATTACAAGAATCAGTGCATTTTAATACAGTTTATCAAATAATACACTCACATAAAGCATGAGGATGACAAGTGGAGTTTTCCTTTTAAGATTTTTCTCTTTAAAATGAGTCCTCTGTCTTGTACTACCTTTCACCTCAGTGTGACTTATCCCTCTACCCGCCATCCTCTTATTGTGGCTCTTCAGTATCTCATGTTTATTGCTGACCAAGTGCCAAAAAGGGGCAGATGAAATATTATGTTACAGACTTGGTATGAGTTATATGTGAAAGTAAAGCAGATGGTGCTTTTTATGGTTTGGAAAATACAAACTAAAGGCCTTAATTTGGAAGTGATTTCCTTTGCCTAACTGTTGATGTGTGTCTGGCCCAAACATCCCTGACTGAGAAGCCTTAGCTTACGGATCAATTTGAAATCAGATGCACTTTTATGTCACATGAATGTTGTGGAGTTTTTGTTCTCTTTACCAAATTTGATTTTTTTTATCTTCAAATGTGAAAATTTTTTTTCATTTTTATTTATATCCCCATGTCCATCCCAATTAGATTTTTATAAGCAAATATATATGTATAAATATATTTTTTATATCTAGACTGTGTCAAATCTAATGATACTTTCAGGACTTTGTGTCATTAAAAGTAAATCATTGAAAGCAGCTGGTTTTGCAGACATTACAGAATTGGGGTTTATAAATGAAAAATGGGTGGAAAACGAACTCTGGCTGCCTGGTTCTTGTTCCAGCTCAAAAAAAGAAACCTTTCCACACATTCGTAGCTATACATTTAGATGACAGTGTTACCTGGCAGGTTATGGAAACTTTGTATCATTTGCTCATTCTGCTTTGACGCATCAGTGAGGTTTCATGAATGAAACCTTTAACTGCTGGGAGTATTTTTTGTGTGAGCTCAGTTGTTAGTGAAATGTAATTAAAGGGTGTGCATGAGCCAAAGACGAGCAGGATCAGAGCCAGTGCTGGATTTCAGAGTTCGCTGTTCAACCCAGATGACGACTTTGTTTATCCCAGGGTTCAGACGCGTCCAGTATTGAATGACTTTCTGGGCAAAGGGCTTGACGTTGCCTGAAGGCTAACATGAGAACGTTCTAAGGGGCTGCTACAGGCTAAAGGCAGCTAAAATATGTTGAAAATAATATTTTGTTTAAAAGACAGCGAGATAAAGAACCCTGTGGTAAGCAAATGAATACAAGCTAGTTGTTTAGAGATCTATATATGTAAATGTATGATTATGTATCATGACAGGACTTGCAGTGCAAAGTCTGATGTATCAAATTTATTTTACAGCAAGAAAAGAATAGTATGTTTAATGACAGTGTTTATATGTCATGTCCTCTCCCCAAAACAAATAAATTGTTTATAAAAAATGTTTGATAGTTTGTGTACATGTGTAAGAGGACAGTTGTGGCCAGTGGTGGATCTACCTAACGGTGGCAGAAGCCCCTTTTACACTGCTTGTTAAAGGTGTTAATTTCACAGCATTATACTGCCTCACCATTCTTAATAAAAGGTACGATTGCAGAATGGGGGCACAAAGTTGTCTTGCATTAAAGCCGGCAGCAAAGGTAGTAACAGCACTGCATTGGCGTGTGTGCAAAAAGGGCAGCCAATGGGATGGGACCATGGAGGGCATGGGTGTGATGTTTGACAACATCTTAAGTTTGTGACACACTTTAAAAGCAGCTACTAGCAGTCAGCAGCTAACTCAAAGAAGAAGAAGAACAGCAGCCAAAAATGTTGGAAAAACAGTGAGGTCCAGGAGCTCTTTACCCTCCGAGGATAGGACAAGATCAGCTCAGATCAGATCGTTTATAAAGCGCTACCTGACGCGTATGATATATGTCATGCTAGAGGCCAATGCATTTGTGTCCATGATGCATGCTGTCCAAAACACACCCTTTAGCGGTATGATGCCGCTGTTGTTTGATTCTGTTTAAAAAAGTAAAGGCGGTAATGAGGGTGTTCGTAGCAGCTCTATTATGCAAGCTCTGTTGAGGGCTTTAGGTAGCCAACTAGGGCACCATCAAGGGGGGGGGTGCCAAAATTGCACCATCTTGTTTTTCAGACACTAAAAAAAACTCGAGAAAATAAGGGAAAATGATCCAAAGATGCACATGAACTGCATGAACAATGCAGTTCACCTTAATGTGTTCATTAGTGTGTGACCATTGCATTGAAAACATACTAGAGCACTGATGGGTATGGTGGAGTGGAGTTTGTATGGAGAGCATTAGAGTATAAGAGAAAATGAATTGCAATTGTGGTGATTACAATTTTAAATTCATCAGCACTTGTTCTTGTTTGAAATAAATATAAAACATAGTATTAATAATAATAGTTTATTTTGGGGGGCAGGGGTGCCTAGGGTGCTAAATGTGCTAAGTCCTGCATTGGTTGTGGCTTGTCCAGACTCAGAGAGTCCAGTAAATAAAGGGCTGACTGAGCTCATTGTTGGCAGTAAGAAGCTACTTGATTAATGCACTCGTTTTCTCTCTGTCTCTCCCTCGTTTTGTTTCCCTCCTCTGTTTTTTCTCTCATGAAGGAAAAGCAGGAGGCAGACACAGGAAGGAGAGATTCGTACAACCGTGTCTGGCTGTGAGATGGTAAAACAGATTGTATCAAACAAAGGATCTTTTTCTTGAATTGGCGTGACACAGAGATGCATTGCTTTTGACAGGTTTGGTTTTTATTGCCTTTTATGAACTGATTCATTCTAGTTTGCCCTGGGTTTTTTCACAGTAGACAAAGAAAGATTCGAGACTGTTAACATGGTTACAGTGAATAATAACAGAGTAGGTCACTTTACGATAAGTCAGAGGATCTGCACTGTAAAAGCACCTTCTTTGTTTCCTACTAATTGGTAAAAGTTCACTTTGAAAGCAGCATTTTCAGAAAAGTATACACCCAACATTCCAAAGGATGAAAAGTACAGCGGTCTGGTTTTTTAATGTCCCCTATATTGAGGCAGAACAGAGGAAGCTGCAGCTGTTTAACATTCAAGGCCATTGTGAATGTCTTTGTCCTTCTCTGCTTCCCTCTCACTCGTTAACCTTTAGATGCTATATGTCAGAAAGGATTTGTTTGAGTAGTTTCATCCTGAATTCCACGTTACGTTTCTGTGATGAAATATCAGCTACCACTTTGGTCCAGACTGAAATATCTCAAAAACTACTGAATGGATTGCCATGAAATTTGTTACAAATGGGCGTGGTCCTCAGAGGATGAGTCCAGCTGACTTTGGTAATCCTCTTACTTTTTCTTTAGCGCCAACAGCAGGTGTGAAATTTCTCTACAAATATTGGATGGACTCCCATGAAATTTGGCAAACCCCTCAGGATGAACTGTAATCACACTGGTGAACACTTAAAAGGGACAGTTCACCCTAGAATCAAAAGTACACACTGTCCTTCTTACCTGTAGTGCTTCTTATCAGTCTAGATTGCTTTGGTGTGAGACATAGAGATGTCTGCCTTCTCTCAAACTGAACTAGCACTCAGCTTGTAGTGCTCAAAGCACCAAAAAAATAAAACAATTGAAAAACAATTTCCCTTGTATCTAACTGCACCCTTCAGCTGTATCACTGAGCAGAGGAAAGCAGCATTTACTTGCCTTGCACCTCGTGGTGCTAGAGGCTTTCTTCAGCATCAAAAGCCAAGTGCCATCTAGTTCCATTATAATGGAGAGAAGGTAGACATCTCTACAGTTGATATTTTAACACTTGGAAACTGACACCAAAACAATCTGGATTGACAGGTAAGAGGTAAAATACGTATTCCTGATTTTGGGGTGAACTTTCCCTTTAACGTTTCCTCTAGCACCATCAGTAAGGTCAGTTTGTCCAATACTTTTTTAAAAAAAAATTAAACCTACTAAACATCATGTTACTATTGTCTGGTGAGTATATTAGCACACTGATGTTAGCATTTAGCGCAGGTAAATATAATATAATTTAGGTATATCCTTTCACATATTAGGATATCCTTTCATTTCTGGCCTACCATCAGTCAGATTTAAAGTGTGTGTAACATCCAAACATCCATATGTTTTGAACAGTCGGAGTTTGTGTCTGAGTGCTGTGCTTGTTATGTGTTGTGTTTGTGTGGTATGCAGCTCTGTCTGTATGGTATATTTGGGCCCCCAGCATTCCTGCTGACAGGCAGACTGGAGGCCTGAACTGGCTCTCCGCTGGCCCTCTTTGTGGCTGCGCTCTGTTTGGACCCAGTGGTGCCGAGTCATACGGCCCGCTTATCTCTCCCAGTTAAGCCCCCCTGATTTTTATCACAGCTCATTCCCATGAGGCCATCCTGGTTCAGTATCACCCAAGCATTTGGCTGTGTTGTTTTTTTGGCTGTTATGTCTCAGGGTTCAGAAATGTACCTGAGGGTCAGCAGCACACATGAGCCACAGGTTTGTTTTATCAATGAAACAGCGTAGTGCACAGATAAGGTAGGTTCATTAAGTTGTCAAATGGTTAGTTGTCAACTACTAAATTAATCACCAGCTAACTCTATTTATTATTCAGTTTCTCTACATTTAATTAAGTTAAGGATCTGAATACAGTACAGGCCAAAAGTTTGGACACACCTTCTCATTCAATGCGTTTTCTTTATTTTCATGACTATTTACATTGTAGATTCTCACTGAAGGCATCAAAACTATGAATGAACACATGTGGAGTTATGTACTTAACAAAAAAAGGTGAAATAACTGAAAACATGTTTTATATTCTAGTTTCTTCAAAATAGCCACCCTTTGCTCTGATTACTGCTTTGCACACTCTTGGCATTCTCTCCATGAGCTTCAAGAGGTAGTCACCTGAAATGGTTTTCCAACAGTCTTGAAGGAGTTCCCAGAGGTGTTTAGCACTTGTTGGCCCCTTTGCCTTCACTCTGCGGTCCAGCTCACCCCAAACCATCTCGATTGGGTTCAGGTCCAGTGACTGTGGAGGCCAGGTCATCTGCCACAGCACTCCATCACTCTCCTTCTTGGTCAAATAGCCCTTACACGGCCTGGAGGTGTGTTTGGGGTCATTGTCCTGTTGAAAAATAAACGATAGTCCAACTAAACGCAAACCGGATGGGATGGCATGTCGCTGCAGGATGCTGTGGTAGCCATGCTGGTTCAGTGTGCCTTCAATTTTGAATAAATCCCCAACAGTGTCACCAGCAAAACACCCCCACACCATCACACCTCCTCCTCCATGCTTCACAGTGGGAACCAGGCATGTGGAATCCATCCGTTCACCTTTTCTGCGTCTCACAAAGACACAGCGGTTGGAACCAAAGATCTCAAATTTGGACTCATCAGACCAAAGCACAGATTTCCACTGGTCTAATGTCCATTCCTTGTGTTTCTTGGCCCAAACAAATCTCTTCTGCTTGTTGCCTCTCCTTAGCAGTGGTTTCCTAGCAGCTATTTGACCATGAAGGCCTGATTAGCGCAGTCTCCTCTTAACAGTTGTTCTAGAGATGGGTCTGCTGCTAGAACTCTGTGTGGCATTCATCTGGTCTCTGATCTGAGCTGCTGTTAACTTGCGATTTCTGAGGCTGGTGACTCGGATGAACTTATCCTCAGAAGCAGAGGTGACTCTTGGTCTTCCTTTCCTGGGTCGGTCCTCATGTGTGCCAGTTTCGTTGTAGTGCTTGATGGTTTTTGCGACTCCACTTGGGGACACATTTAAAGTTTTTGCAATTTTCCAGACTGACTGACCTTCATTTCTTAAAGTAATGATGGCCACTCGTTTTTCTTTAGTTAGCTGATTGGTTCTTGCCATAATATGAATTTTAACAGTTGTCCAATAGGGCTGTCGGCTATGTATTAACCTGACTTCTGCACAACACAACTGATGGTCCCAACCCCATTGATAAAGCAAGAAATTCCACTAATTAACCCTGATAAGGCACACCTGTGAAGTGGAAACCATTTCAGGTGACTACCTCTTGAAGCTCATCGAGAGAATGCCAAGAGTGTGCAAAGCAGTAATCAGAGCAAAGGGTGGCTATTTTGAAGAAACTAGAATATAAAACATGTTTTCAGTTATTTCACCTTTTTTTGTTAAGTACATAACTCCACATGTGTCCATTCATAGTTTTGATGCCTTCAGTGAGAATCTACAATGTAAATAGTCATGAAAATAAAGAAAACGCATTGAATGAGAAGGTGTGTCCAAACTTTTGGCCTGTACTGTATGTCTTCCATCTCTTGACACAAGGATGTCCAGGAATAAAAGGAATACTTTCGTGGAAAAAGTAGAGCTTTACATGAAGAGTAGCTACACACAATCAAGATCTGTTTCCAACACAGGGAATGAACTGATTAGGACTTAAATCAAACCAGATTAGATTTAAAAAGCTTTCCTATACAAGATTC